TAAAACCCCCCGGGCAGAACAGAATTGATGACGTGATATATACACAGTGACTTATTCTACATCATCAGATATTAGGCCGTCAAACTCCCTGGGTTTTATTCTAACATATAAATTCTACCATAACTTTGCATTATGATCGCGTTAAATTGGGCGCAAACGGGCTTTTTATCATTGACAAATTGATTGTCCGGATTCTAAGAATACATATTTTTGTACTGAACGGGAAGAACTATCGTAGAACCGGATGAAAAAGCTGCAAGCAGGCTTGTGATAGGTATCCCAACTATGTAAATAAATAATATATAATAAACGGAAAACTGNCGGACATAAGCAACCGAAAAACAACCAAATTCGTAAAAGATATTATAGACCGACCTGTAAGAGTACTCTCGTTCACTATACAATTTCCGGATAACAGTAACGCGTCGCAGTGCATCACGCAACCATTTCGTGGGATATCCAGAATGTCACCAGGGACCAGATCTGTTGAGTCCACTTCCAGAAATTCTATTCAACGAAGCAGAGAGCATGTACAGTTACGCGTCAAACATTGACCCGGTGCACATGAATAGTTGATAACAATTAGTGAGCGAAAAGTGCAGCAGATTTTGAAGCAGAAAACGATTCATTTGTATTTCTCTATCTATGCAAATTGAGACTGTTTATAGTAAACAACGGGAAAATCTCAGACCACATGCTTGAAATTAGTCTTGAAGAGGTTCTCAAAAAAAGACAGCTGACAACGCAGCATTGGTGTCGGCAGATTTTGTTTCAAGTTACCAACAGCGTATTCACAACGAAATAAAATAATCAGAACATTATGAAACTAGACAAACATTTATGAAAGCAAAAACGTCTGTAGTGGAATGATGATAACCATTCTTGCTTCTTTTACACATACGGAATATACTTTCCAGAGAGGGTTGTGGTTGGTGAAAAGCCGGGTTGGAATTCAGAAGTCTCAGAGATCTGTTTGGATAACCTCAACCACTTGACCGCCACAACTGAAATGCACTAACTCAACCACGCAGAACAGCATCATCATGGCGCAGTAAAAAGATCTTCATGGATCGTTATCAAGTGATAAAGTACAAGATGGATAGAGTTTGGGCCAAATTGGAAGGAGGCAAAGAAAAGAAAGTTCACTGATTAACACAGTACACAATTTAACTGTACATACATACCTTTTCAAGTATTTCGACCTGATAAGAACAAGAACGCCACTGCTGTCGGTTAGTTGCCATATCCTACAGTATTTCCAACCAGCCAGTTGCAGTCATTCGGAGGGCGGGATATATTTCCTCTACCTAATCTCGCTGAATTTCTTCAGACCTCGTTTCCACGCCATCCGCTGAACTCGAAGTGACATCCTCCAAACCGGGAAACAACTGCAAAAAGGCACTGCGCAGTAGGCGACAGCTGGACATGCACATGTTCTAATCAGCGAAGTTTACTAATCTGAAGTCAATGTGATAACGAGTTCCCATAGAATCATTTCCAAATACTCGTCGGCCTACTCCAGTGTTCCTTACTAGCTCGCTCCATCCAAACCGGTGCGAAACTACGTAAAAATTGGCAGTCGAGGACTTCTAGACGACGAATATGTTCCAAGCGCAAATGTAGGGTCTAGCAACTGTATAGCACAACTGAACTACAGCGGCGCAGTGTACGCATACCAAAACAAAAAAGTAATTCCATACTGCATCGGTCATCGCCCAGGATAATCAAGGAGCTGTGTCCAAAGTTGGTGCTACATAAGAGCAACCAGCGATCCGCTCAGAACTGAATAAGTCAATAACCGTTGTCTATGGCGAGCGAGTAACAAGTTTCACGGAAGTAACGGAGGATTTGATTCAATTTCAAAGGTGTATTATAGCAAATGAAGCCTGAACTGAAAAGCTAGGAAGCACTGGACAGCTGTTTCGACCTGGTTGGGTTTCGTCAGCAGTACCAATCCATCGACCCCACCGGGGATCGAATCCGATACATCACGAGCAGGACGCAAGCATGCTACCCATTCGACCATCGGGCAGCTGATCAGACCGTTTTTCATTTTCCATTTGTACAACCCATCTTTGCGAGCTTGTTGCAGGCCACAGACCTCGCTCATCTCAGCACTAGTCAGGTTGTGACTGTTTTCAACGGAGTTATAACCCCGGATAAAAAATGAAAAATACCGTGAGTTGTTCAAAGGTACCAACCGTTCACAGATAATATGAAGGGAAACAACGACACCATTTGTCCGGCATTCATATGGTGAAATGCCCTTAAAAAGTCTGCCTCTCAAGGTGTGCATGAAACAGCTGCTACCCAGCACATATGCTACGGAAATCTCCGCCTGGGTTAAAAACGTGTTGCGCAACTTTCACACAGGAAGCATGGATACAATAGAGATAAATAAAGCAAAATATTACCAATACCAGAGAAAGGGAGAGGAGGCAAATGACGTGCCGCCATAGCGTAGCAAATGTGTGAGAGAAAAACTACCTGAAATCACTGAGCGAGATCGGACTCACCGGGAAAACCGTTTTCCTCCCGACAGACCGAAACAACAGTTGAGCCACAGATTGTGTCTTTGAGTGCACGTTGGTTCTGAAAACAATTCGTAGGAGAGAAAACAGCAGGAGTTAACAATGTCAGAATCGGTGGAGTAGGTTTCAGAGCAGAAAATTCCAAACGCACATCACAATCCAAAATTAGTACATAACCAAAAGGATAATTAAACAGTGATTTGTACCAATATTCCGTTATTTCTGACTTGTGAATAGGGTTTTTATATTAGACATCTGCAAAAAAGAGTGAAATCTACTGTCACAAAGACTCACTATTCAGTTGTGGAAAAGCACAACTCAAGGCATATGTTTTGGTATGGCGAACACAGTGAACCTGAGAGCGATGACTGACCTTTTGCTTAGAGGTCCAATAATGGCACAGTACTGGTCTCACAGCTACATTGAAGACAAGACAATCGAAATTTCGTACTAAAGGGGTGATCTTCCATAGGACGACACCGCCCGCTGCATCGAGCAAGATGGACCGTGAG